CCGTTAGCCGAGTAATTGCAAAGAGGACATGGCATCACACAGAACGAGTGATCGCGGTCGAAACCGGAGCTGTAAGAGGGATGGATGATTTTGGAGATACAATGAATAAACGTGTCCCTACTTCATCCAGTGTTCTACCAAGTGCGGGATTGTGTAGTAAAGATGACGACAAACTTCACAGCGAACTGGACGCTCTTCAGAAGTGGACACATTATCGCCTAGAGTTTTGACATAACAAATCACTTGAATAAAGAAGGAAGGTAACCTTCAAGAATGAATAAACATTCATATAATGGGCTTTTCTTGACACAATCTCCTCACCTATTGCGAAATTTTTCACTCTGATATTTGCTGCATCATGATCGTTATGGTCTGCAGACTGAGCTCTAGTTCGGAAAAGATTCTCAGCTAATTCACGTCCAGTCAAATCCGGAAAAGACTGTGTAGAAACTGCACCGTCCGCCTAAACGTTGTTCCTTTGAATGTAAAAACTATCGAATAAATGCAACTGTCAGCTCGACAGCTAGAAGAACTCTCTCCGCGGAAAGAACATCTACATAGACATCAAGATACACGCACTCGATCAACTAGATTTACTCCCGTTTGTCTAGTGACGCCCGTTTCAGCTTGATGCAGTGAATGCACATGCTGAGTGTACTGATTTCGACCTTGGAGCACAGCAGGACAATATTCGCAATAAACGGGACCGCGATTGTGAACTTCTCTGTGAAATTCCAATAGTTCTGTAAAAGAATCAACAGTGAACTTCTTAAAAACTACAAAATATATGAAAACTTCCAGAAGACCAACCGCTAGTTCGGAAAGACTTATGGCAGGGCCAACACAGATGTGGACGAAGTCCCTGATGTTGCGAGCAATGTTCTTTGTATCCACGAAAAGAATAGAAAGAGTTAGGACAAATTTGGCAGTGATACTTCCTAAACGGCAATGGTCAGAGATTCCAAGTTTGTAGTTAAAAATTTCCAAAAAAACCCATGAGATCCGAGAAACACTGACTTAGTTGGCTGACGAGCTTTATCCTGCGATTTTGACCGCAACCTGGAGGAGGACAGCTCAATTAGTCCCCCATCGGCACTACTTTGCAATATCGCTTGAGGTACGCAACGGTGTTTGTCAAGGCGGTGTAGAGTGGAGAACTTCTAGAAAAATGGGATGTTATGTATTAACCATTAGACAACACTTGTCTTACCTGAAAGCAAACAGAGCATTCAAAGTTGCATTGATGGATGGCCATATGTTTCCTAAGACTGTTCCGTGATGACAGCTGCAACGAGCTGTATTTAATTTGTGAAATCGAAAATAAAGATCAAATAGAAATTTTGAGAAGCTAACAAACAATTTTAATGGCTGCATTGACAATTGGTTATAGAATGCTGAATGTTTATTGGGCTCACACCAGCATGCATGTAAACTCACATGCTTCATGCATATGGGGCATTTCGGATTCGT